TTATGAGGTAAGTGGCTTCCTTCACCGTGCACATCTGGCACCAGTGTGTCGATCCTCACCACAGGGTCATAGGGATGGACTGACACCTCTGGAAGCTGAAATGAACCCTCCCTACCTTAAAGTGTTTATCTCAGAGGGGAAAATGACCCATGCTACAGCTGTGCATTCAAAGAAAATTTACTCATATTCCTGTCTTGTTTTGGTGATTCTTAAGCCTCAGCATAAAAAATTGATAGTTACAATTGTTATTCATTTTATGCTTCCCCTTTATTCACTTTCCTTTCAGCAACTGAAAGAGCATTTTGGACACTGAAAGAAAGAATATTTTTGCATATAAGTGTGAGAACCCTCATCTCTAATTTGAGCACAATGTACAAGAAAATGAACAATGTGGGAATTAGCCACATTCAGGAATTTCACTCCTCTATTTGATACTTTAAGATTTTTACCCCAATGTTTTCTAATTTGTTTTTTCTCTTCTTTCTCATATTTATTTTTCTGTTTTAATGCTTGTTTGCTTAGTTTTGAGACAGGGTCTTATGTAGATCTGGCTCTCCTTGAACTTTGCCCTGTAGTAGAAGCTGGCCTTAGACTCCAAATCCCAACTTCCTCTACTCCCCAAGGGCAGGAGCCACCACCCTCTGGATCAAACCCAGTGTTTTTAAAGTTTCACACATCCGGGTAACTCTCTCCTTTCATAGGTGATAACTACTGGGTCTGATGCGGCCATCTTTGAAGACATAAAAGTGAAAGGGGCAGAGAGGATGCTGAGACTGAGGTAACACTGCTGAGTCCCAGGAGCTGGAGGCCGTTAGACTTCAGGCCAGGGAAAAGCCCAAAGCACAGAGGGAGTGGGACAGAGCACTTAGGGGCTTCAGGGAAGGGCTTTCCCCCCTCCTAGAAAAGCCACATTAACCTTGTTGAGACTCCACTTTGATCTTGTTAGCTTGCCTTTGAAGAAAAATGACCTTGCCAGGCAAACAATAGCAGCAGCTGAGTGCAAGGGACCAGAAACTCCTTTTAACAATCAGATTCAGAACCTAGTTGGAGCAATAGGAAAGTGTTTCCATTCCTGGAAAAAGGCATCAAGGTAAGCTTTGTGGGCACTAATGTTGATGGAGAAGGACTTTGCTGTCTCCTTCCCACACAAGGAGCTATTTTCCTTTTCTTTGCTCTTGGAATATTTCACCCCCTTCCCTGTTTCCTTCCTGATTTCCTTCAGTTATTCTTTCCCTCCTAAACCTGCTGTAGGAGGCTGCCACCTGGCATGTCCTGAGAGTGCAGCAGCTTGGAACGCTGGAAGGCTACATGTATTGAGGATGCAGACCCTAGACTACCTTGTCCTTGGATCTGTGGATGCAGATGGAAAGGCTTTCATGTCATCAGAGCTGCAGTAGGAAGAATCAGTGCTGTTCTCAGTTCACATCTAATGGTTGAAATCCTAGGCTGAAGATTAAATTCTGACTATTAATTACATGAACATGTACACTGCTGTGGAGTTCTTCAATGTTGTAGTTATTTGACTTAACCTGGGAAATATTGGATGCAGTATTTATTTATTTATTTATTTATTTATTTATTTATTTATTTATTTATTTATTTTCTTAAGCCCCCCCGTGTGTGTGTGTGTGTGTGTGTGTGTGTGTGTGTGTGTTTGTGTGTGTGTGTGTGTGTGTGTGTGTGTGTTAGACAGGGATGACATTTGCTTGTTACAATCCATGTGTGGAAGTCAGGAGATAACTTGTGGCAGTCACTTGACTAAGGGCATGGGGCTTGGGTATAGGTATTTCATCTGTTGAACCATTTCACTAGTCCTATGGTTAATAATTAGACTTCTCTTGTTTTGATTTAAATTTTGGCCTTTTTTGGGGGGGGCTATTGTTTTGAGACAGAGTTTTTGTATAGCTAGAGTTTTCCTGCCTTGCCCACACTCAGGACAAATCTCTGTCACCCGCCAGTCCCACAGCCGCTCAGACCCAACCAAGTAAACACAGAGACTTATATTGCTTACAAACTGTATGGCCGTGGCAGGCTTCTTGTTAACTATTCTTATATCTTAAAGTAACGCATTTCTACAAATCTATATCTTGCTACGTGGCTCGTGGCTTACCAGCATCTTCACATGCTGCTTGTCCTGGCAGTGGCTGGCAGCGTCTCCTTCTGCCTTCCTGTTCTTTTATTTCTCCTCTGTTAGTCCCGCCTATACTTCCTGCCTAGCCACGACCAATCAGGTTTTATTTATTGACCAATCAGAGCAACTTGACATACAGACCATCCCCCAGTACAGCCAAGTGCAGACCATCTCAGACACCTGCACTCAGGCCCATGGTCCTAATCATCCTCTATGCAAACCTGCTGGGTAACGCCACAAGGAACCCAAGAAAGGCTCCCACAGGACATACATTAACATCCCACAGCATTTTTGTGTAGCCCTGTCTATCCTGGAACTCACTTTGTGATCTGTAGTCCATATCTCTGTAGTCAAAGTCAGACATCCACCTGCCTCTGCCTCCCAAGTGCTCCACCACTGCCCTTCAATTTAATTTTTAATCCTTCTTTTTTCATCTTTCAAGAATTTTGACCATACTCACACCTCCCACACACCTTCAATGTCCTTCCCTTCTCATCCAACTAACTGCATCTGTCTTCTTCTTTTTTAAACCTGTCAAGTCCAATTTGTGCTACCCATAAACTCTGTGGTATTTACTGGTCGACACACAAGGGGCTGCACTCTTGAAGAACAGTGAATTTCTCTCTCCCTGCAGCTATCAATCATCAATAAGTCCGTAGCTAGCAGTGAGATTTGATGCCCACCTCCCCTTTCCATGTTAAATTGTTTTCTAGTTTGAGTTGTTTAGGTCTTGTGCATAAGTTATCCATATGTATACATAATATGTACATAAACACACACACACACACACACACACACACACACACACACACACATATATATATATATATATATATATATATATATATATATATATATTTATTTATGCATAGGAAATACATGAGGGTCATTACTTATGATGGATTCATTTGGCCTTCCACACCGCTCCTCTTCCAGTGTAAAGTCAGCCCTGTGATTGTAATAATAAGAATTTCTCTTTGCTTCCCTTTCCCCTTCATGTCAGTGTCTGGCTTCTGTTCAGCCTCGACTTTCTAAGAGTCATTGTGGTGATGAACTTGACACATGCTGTGATCATCCAAGAAAAGGGTATCTCAATTCAGACATGCACCATCAGATTGGCCTGTAGTCTCTTCTGTGCGGCAGTTTCTTGTGGAATGGCACAGCTCACTGTTGTGGGTGCTCTTCTTGGGCAGGGGCTCCAGAAAAACATAAGAAAGATAATTGAACAAGCCAAGAGGAGGAAACAGGTATGCAGTGTCCCTCCATGGTCTCTGCTTCAGTTCATAGCTTCAGCTTCCTGCCCTGATTTCCTTTACTAATGGGCTGTGATGATAATATGTAAGCCAAATAAATTCTTCACTCTCCAAGTTGCTTTTGGTCATAGCTTAGCAAGAGAAAGCAAAGTAAGTTAGTCGTCCATGTGGGTTGGCCGCTTTTGATGTCTGTTCTCATTGTGGGTGTTCAAAGAGTCTCATAGCATTTCCAGACCATCAGCATTAGCATCACAGGAGTTTCTAGAAATGCAAACACCTCACATTTGCCATGCAGAAGTGCAAACTATGGGCTGTATTTAAGCTTGTTGAACCTCAGTATCACCATAGGATGTGACTTTGAAACGTATTTGTTTTAAGTTGAAGAGCATTTGAAGGACCTTGAGGTCTATCATTGACCTATTATCTTTTTTTCTCTGAGTTCCAGAGAAACCGGAATTTCCTCTTCTTAAAGGTGGATCATAGAAGTAGGAATATTATTTCATTTTCTGTCTTTATGAATGAATTGACCATGACAGAATTTCTTGGCCTATATTGTGTGATAGAAGGCCATGATATCCTCTTTCGAGAGAGGTCTTGCTCCTTGCCTAGAGGAAGGATGCTTTAGAGAATCTGAGAGAGTCTCCTTAGGCTTTTCTGGTATTCTTTCCCCCCTCTCTCACTCCTGTCAGACCCTTTGTACTAATGCATTTCTACCTAGCTGCCGTGTGTCAATGACTCTAAACATAAATTAGAAAGCCTCCCTTAGGCCTTTGGGACTTTATAACTGAAGTCTTCATGCCGGGTAGATACATTTGCTATGCTATCCCGTTGTAACCCCTCATCCATTGTAGGGGTGCCAGCCATAGGAGGTACTGCAGCCCACAGCCATCCACATGATTCTAATAGTCACTAACTTTTAGACCTGTTACTATGTGCTATTCTATTCCTTGCTACGTTGAGATAAACTTATTAGTGGGATGCTAATAGACATCCTGGCTGCTTTGAATGTAAGACTAACATAACGATCTTTGATTATTCTAGCACATGACATTTGGTGATGAAGAAAATACATGGATTTTGAGCATTTGCCAAGGAGTCTAATTTCTGTGTCCTGGGAAAATTTTGTGTTGGACAGTGCCATAGATGTCTCCATTCAGCTTCCAAACGATCGATCACACTAATCTGTACTCTGCAGCAGGAGATGGGATTCACAGATTACTAAAACCCTCCTCAGTCTCCAAACACACTTGCCATTCACCTTGTTTTTTGATATTCTGGTGTCAGTTTAGTGGCATTCAATACTCATTTCTCCAGTGGCCAGTGGCACTTCACGCCTTTTCCATCTGCATGTCTTTCTCAAAGCACAGATTCTACCTTTCTTCCTCTTTCTTTGGAGTGTTCTACCTTCATCTCACTGACTTTCAGGTACAGGACTTTGTTAAATATATCATAAATGGCTCTCCCTATTTTGTGGGATGTCTGGTAATTGAACTTCTCTGAAAACAAGTGTTCTAAAATACAGACTGAAAACATGACTTTTAACGTATTTTTGGACATAACTTGACATTTTCTGACTGTTCACTCACCTTCATTTTTAATGATACTTTATTGCATAGGGTAACCCATTTTCATTTCATTGTGTATACAATTGTCTTGATATTAGTAAAACCACGTAAGAAGTATTTGTGGCAGGTCAGTATCCTACAACAAAATCCCTAGAAGCCAGTGTTCTGAGTGTATGTCCCTATGTCTTCCAAATGCCGCAATCTGTATGCCATCCAAATAACTGGCTCCTGGGTGTCTTTGGTAACAAATTCTGATGGCAAAGGAGGTAAAGCACACCTGGAGGGAGGAAAGAGTTGATGTCACAAAGAATTGAAGCTGCTGTTTGGTTATTTAGATGAAAATCCATCCAGATTTTGATCCTAAGATATCCATGAGAATAAGCTCCAAAGTGAAACCCAAGTTAAATATAAAAATTCTAACCATGAGGAAATAGAAGATAATGTTTGTGAATAATTTTGACATCTTTATGATAAAGAAAATCTAAATGGGAAGATATGCAAATTGAACTATGTAGTAACTGAAAACTTTGAACTTCTAAAAGCAAACTGAATTAAGCAGTAAAAAAAATGAAGCTAAACTAAATATTAAATATTTAAGACATATGTCTGAATTAATACTTTGAGTATGTAAAGAACATGAATAGCCACGAATGTGGTTACAGACTCAATTAAGCAATGTACCAAAAGAGAAACACGGAGAGAAGAGGGATAAGGGAGGGACAGGAGAGGGAGAGGAAGAGAGGGTTGAGAAAGGGAGGGGAGAGGGAGGGGAAGAAGGAAGGGTGTGGGCAGTAGGAAAGAGAATAAAATTAAGAGAGATTAACAGCTGTCTATTAATTTCAAAGAGATACTTGTTTATCTTTATTTTGCATGTATGGCGGTTTTCCCAGCACATGTCTGTGCATCACATGTGTACAGGGCAGACGAAGGCTGAGGAGGGCATTGAATTCCCTGGAACTGTAGTTAGACAGTTGTGAGCCACCACATGGGTGCTGACTACTGAAACAAGGTCCTCTGGAAGAGCAACCAGTGTTCTTAACAACCGAGTCGCTCTCCAGCCCTAGTTTTATTGTTGCTTTAAATAAAAATAAGAAAAGAAAAAACCCTCACAGTCAAAGACATGATGTAATTTTGAAAAATATACTTTCAATGCTGCAGAAGATTTATGATCAAAGATAGTTTGAATTAAGGAGAAAAAAAGCCTTCCTTGAAGTTTCTATCATAGTGAGACATAAACTAAGAGGATGTGGGATAGCGAGTCCTTTCTCTTGCCATGCTATTAAAGAAATGAGCCTGGAGCTGTCTGCTCACAGCCCAGAAACAGTAGTTTCTTAAGCTGTGTGTTGGGGAACAGAATTGCAAAGTCTAGTGACGATTAGAGGTTGTCATTAATTAGAACTGGATGTGGGTGGAGAGAAGAGGACCCCACTCTCTCGTAGTTCAAAAACATCATTCACTGTGTTGAACACAATCTACGAGTCCTGGCTAGGGTGAAGCTGACACAGACGAATACAGGGTATTCCTGCCTTCAAGGAGCTGAGACTGCTCAGTCGATCATTTGAATAAAATAGTGTTGAAATGATTATATAGAGCTGGCCTCTTGAATAGGATTTTATTAAATTTGCCCAGAGCACTTCTACCCAGCCCCTTGCAAATGCAAGCTGTTTCTGCTTCGTGTGTGTGTGTGTGTGTGTGTGTGTGTGTGTTCCAATTCAAATGAAAAATGAAAGCTGATGATGATACCCCTGATTCAATAGCAAGAATGAAATAGAATTAGTCATATTGTAAACACGACAAGCTACGAAAGGGTGTATTTTCCAAAGATTTGGAGCAAAAATGATATAAAATAGTAACTCAGGCTCTTACAGAGTTAATCTGCAAGCTGTACATCTCTGAATCCACTCAAGGTTCTGCAGTACTGCCATGTTAGAGCTGAGTTTCCTCTGCATATATAGGATGGAAGCCTTCCAAAGAGCTCTGCACTCCACTGCCTTTGGGAGGACAGACCAAAATACTGAGGAAGGAGAAACAGGACGTGTTTAATTTTTGCAGTACACCAATTTCCATAAGGACAGTCGCTTCAGGAAAAGTCAGAAGTGAGGATGTACTCACGGTACTAAGGACATGCAAAGGAAATGTGTTGTTTCTGTGAACCATTTCCATGATTTCAACTGTTTCTTGCTGGCAGCACGTAGGTCTTTTTCGGCAACCTCTGCTTCCCTTTGCAATCTTAACCTGTAGTTTATTGCCATTCCTACCTGGGGAGATGTTTCACATTGAGAAGCTTCCTTTTGCTCTTTGCAAAATAGAATCTTGGTTTTTGTAAAATGTTATGTTTGGAATATATCCGTGTGTGTGTGTGTGTGTGTGTGTGTGTGTGTGTGTGTGTGTGTGTGTGTTTGTGTATTTGTGTGTGTGTGTGTGTGTGTGTGTGTGTGTATAATTAGAAATAGCATTCTTAAATGAGATCCAGAAATATACTCGTTCATTAGAAAGGAAAAAAAAAAAACCTTTCATGCATCATGTAACTGATGCTTTGGGAAATTCCATGACAAATATTCACCCATTGTTTTCATAGTAATCATCGCATCGTGAAATTAAAACTGTTTCAATACTAAATGTTTTCTAAAACAATTACCCAGCAATGAAATTACTATATATTTTCTTCTAAAAGCAGGTTGTACGGTAGGTACAGTTACATGAAAAATGGCTGACCTTTTGATTCAGCTCCACAGCTGCCTTCCTTAAATTCATTCTTTAATTTCTTCCGTTGGTTCTTAGAAAACTAGAGGCTGTGCTGACGGTCCAGGGTGTGGGCAGGTGGGCAGCACTCCTCTTGATCAAGAGCAGACCTGTCCCCTCTCCTTACCCAGCTTTCCCCTTTTGTGCTTGTGTGCTTCAGAACAGCCTTTCAAAAGACAGTCCCAAATTGCACCGACGTCCCAAATCGCAGGATTAATGTGTCTACGAACAGACCTCTTATGCCTCCAAAATGAACTACTCCTTGCTAATTTCTCTTCAAGACACCAGCTTAATTGCATTTTAAACAAATGGGCTGCTTTGCTGGCCAACTTTTAAATGAGATAACAGCAATGTTCACTCTCCAGCAGTGATGAGTGCCTCGCAGTAGATTCAAAACTCTGTTCAATAGCAGGTTTAATCTCACACCAGCAGATTTACTGCGGAATAAACTGCCACTGAGATCATAATTAGTAAAACAACAACAACAAAAACCCAACCTACTAAATATTATTTTCCAAAGCAGCAGGCAGCATTTTAGCGGAAATTTTCAGCCCTGTGCTTTGTGTGTTTTATTGATTTTATGTATGATATTGGGAATTCACGCTATGATTTAAGGTAATGTTCTTTTATTGATCATGTAAGCAGTTGCTTCACTACCCAGTATGAAAATGATGCTCCCCTTCTCAGAGTCTGTGACATGCACACCTGGGAGACGACAGTGTGACTCGCTTTGAATGTTTCTTTCATTTCTACTTTCTAAAAGCATATTCACTGTTAGAAAACAACAGCCAAATAAAAAAAATGAGAGCTTTAGAAGCTATCATCTCATAATTTTCTTTGTTGCAGCTATCAGTGGCTGATTGTGATTCAGTGAAAACCCCGTTCAACAAACAGATGTTGCACAGGGCATACTCTGCCTTTTGTGTCTACACAGATATTAATGAGGTAATAGGAAAGACTGGGGGCGGGAGAGGGTTCACTACGTACTTATCATCTCAGACAAAACTCTGTACCCTTCTTACATTCCTGTTTATCTTACACAATAGTAAAATGCATTGTAATGGCATCCCAAGGGGCTTGTTTTTCATAATTGTCTCAAATACATGTGCAAAAATGTGTGCTACATGATTTTAAAGAGGCTCATTTGTAAGCAGAGGTGAACAAAAGCTTTTACGTTCAAGTGGAGCAAAGTATATGTGTGTGTGGTGTGTGTGTGTGTGTGTGTGTGTGTGTGTGTGTGTGTGTGTGTGTGTGTCTTTACATACCATGAAGAGATTTCACAAAATGTTCCTGCTGTCTTGTAATCATATAAATATACACCACGTGATAGCGAAGTAAAATGATAACAAAGAAGGTTCATAATTAGCCTCTGTAAATTGGGCTGTTTGCTGTTTTCCAACAGTTTTTCAACCAAAGTTGTCCTCAGCACGAGTGCCAGCTCACCTCCCATCACTCAAACACAGTAATGGCATGTGAGGCTCGCTTTATTTCTGGCATTAACCTTTTGATAATGAGTGTTACATCAAATGGAATTTGAGGAATCTAATGGTACTGCTGTGCGCTTTATTTTTTTAAGACCCCCAAAGCAAATTAAACCTCAGTGAATCAGACATCATATTCACAGACAATAGCAGTTTTAAGAAAGAATTTAGAAAGTACCAATTCACAAATTAAGCTTTTAACACTGTAGTTTTTCTAGGTGATGATTAAAAAATTTACTCATTTTTTTTATAAGTTGATTTTTATTAGTAAGGAAAATAAAAGGGATGAAAGCCCTCAAGCTCTGTCCCCAGGCAATTACTCTGGTATTTCTAACTCACAGACCCACTCTGATATTTCTAACTCATAGAAGTTTAGAGGTCCATGGTCACAGGAGTTTCCATAATTCACAAAAGAGGAAAGTAACATTGGGGGGCATTATATGATAAACTGGGGCACATTTTTCATTTGCTTCATCTGTCCTGTGGTGAGTGTTTATTCCTTTATCACATACCTAAGACTTTCCTCAGAAAGCACTCAGCTGCATGAAATTTTAAAGTCGTGGCTCTTAACAACACATTGGAAACTGCATCCAAACCATGGCCTCCTGACAGATCTTTTGCAGGATTCTGTTGGTTATCCCTGAAATTTCAGTTTTAGCCTAAGCTCTGCATAAACAAGCATTTTCATCAGTAACTTTTGGCCACCTTTGCTGAAAAATAGCAGACCCGTAAATTGTACCCATTTTTAAGTGTGTGAGTTTAGGGAAACACCATTTTCATTATGATACAAAAATAATCATCTTGATCCCCAAATTGTCCTCCCACCTCTTTGAACAAATTCTCTTCTCTGTCCTTTCCAATACCAGACACAGATTTTTCTTGATCTAGGCATAGGTGTATCTAACCTATGGGTCTCAGGATGTCTGTGAACATGGTCTAACACATCTGTAGATGGTGTTGCCATGTTGGATTGTCAAAAGCTGGACACCCCTCGATAGGACTTCGTATAAACGGAAGTACTATTTTACCTAATTTGACTTGACAACTGCTTATA